CATCTTTTCCAACATTTCCTGCCTGAGATGCGTCTTCCTTCCGTCTCTTCCTTCCCATCTCTCATTGACAATAGCTCTTCTCTGACTTGGCCAAAGAAACTCATACCTCTCGCCCAGCCTGAGTCTTACATGATGTATTTCTCCAGCATATAAAAAACCCTAAACTTATAGGAGTCTCAGAATCCAGAAAAGAGGTTCTGAAAGATGCATCCACAGGGTGGCACCTTATTTCCTGTAAGGACAAACTTGGCAAGGCTCAGGCCTCACCTGTCTGTTGGCCTGTTTATCTTCAACCTGTGAATTCAAATTCAGAAATAAAAAAGTTGCCATGGGAATGCATCTTAACATGGATTTTTCTTTTTTGGTTGTTTTTTTAAATTTTTAAAAACTCTGACTTAACCTTTTTCTGTTTGTAAGTCTGACTTGACTGGTGGGTTGGGTGGTGAGGTGTGACCAACTAGGTTATATGGCTACACTTTACACACACTGAATGAGGTGATTCTGAAATTTCTAGGCTTTGTCAAAAAGATATCCAAAGTTGGAGATATATTGTATATGTATTATATATATATAATATATATAAATATATAATATATATAATATATATATTATATATTATATATAATATGTATACAAAACTGTATATTGTATATACTATATAGTATATAATAATATATTTTGCAAAAGAAAAACATATCTCTCACCCAGCCTGAATCTTATGGTGTGTTTCTTCAGTATATAAAATCCCCAAGCTTATAGGATGCCCAAGGGACAATTCAAGAATGCACTGTTCTGGGGAATCCCAGAATCCAGAAAAAAAACCAAAACTTACAGTTACATAATCGTATATAATTATATTATACATAATTATATTATACATAATATATTATATAGTATATTGTGTACATATACACAAAATTCTTGGAAATTATTTATTTAATATTATTTAATAACTTTTTAAAATTAAATAATAAATTATTTAATAATTTTCAGATGGCAATTAAAAAATATGTGAGAGGATGCAAACTTTTTCAAATCCTACTGGGAGTAATGAGCAAAAATGAGCAAAAGCCCTCNAAAAAAAAAACACCTTCATCCCATTTCACCCCCAGGGGAGGGTCACATCAACTGCAGACTGCACCTTGGGCCCCCATCTTCAGGGTGTGGCCGGGACAGGACTCACCGTGGTGACATGGAGAGAGTACTGGTCTTCGTTCTGAGTGAGATTAGCCAGCTGGGACACCCAGCTGAACTGCTCGTCCAGCTGCTTCAGCAGAGCGGAGGTGTTGAACATGTTTTGCTGGTAGGACTGCAGCAGCTCGTCGTACAGCTCGGTGAACTTCTCCGCAAGCTGGAGGGAACTGTTCAGTTCCTGCCGCAGCTGGTTCTGAGCAGGGTTGGTGGCCGAACAGTCTGCCCGAAGATGAAAAACACAAAAGGCAAACATGTGAAGGGGACGCTGAAAAGGGAAGACACACAAATGGAAGCCGGTTCACGCAGCCGGGACCTAAAGCAGAGTTATTCTCAGCGCCAGCCCCCAAACCGTTTGTCGTCAGTCCGGGACAACATAAAGACCTTGTCCCAGAATGAAAATTAACACGCGGCTTCCTTCATTGAGAAAGTCTTGCTCTGGAAAACAGTGTCAGCTGAACTAAACAGTGTACTTAGTTGACATCATTGACTTATCTTTGGATGCAAGACCCTTATCTCCTTGGAGACTGGTGGTGAACAGCGCTGACCACACTCTGAGGAGCTCGGATTTCAGGGCTCTGTGCTCAGACCTGGAGCTGCCTGCCTGTTCTTGCCGCCCCATCAATCATTTCCGGTGAGGGGGAATGCCACTCATAGCTACCATTTGTGTGGTGCCTACGATGGACCAGATACCACATAAGTGCTTCGGATATCCATTGTCTCTAATAATCAGATGTATTCTAACAACGACCAATAATGAATTTTGGTTTTTTCCCCAATAATAAAATTGAGGCCCACAAAAGTAAATCACTTGCCTAAAGTCATAGAATGAACAAATCGTGGGGGCCAAAAATGACTCCTAAAACTTCCTAGTCTGAGTTTGTGGGTCTGGAAAATTCCCCAACCTTGTCTTTTGGGGATATCTGCAGAGTTGGAAATTCTGGCCCCAAGAGCGCATGCGGCAGAAGAGATGGAAAGGACCCTCGAGTTACAAAGCACAGCAGCCTGGTAGCTGGGATCCTGGCTTCCCGTCTGCCCAGCATGACTGGTCACCAAAGTCACCAGGAGAGCAGGGAAGATAGAGTTCATTCTTTTTGGTCCCTGAGCACCCACTGCAGGTTGTCACATTGATAAGAGCTGGCAACTACCCACTATCTCTTTTAAAAACTACTGTTTTTTCTCTCTCTACATTTTTCAAAAATATTCCAAGGAAAGCACATCAAACCCAAGCAAGTCAGGGGAAAGGAGATCTTTGCACACTGAAGAACGGTGATCGTTTATGTTAAATAACTATATGTAATCATTTATATTAAATGATTGTATTAAATGTAATCTTTTGTATTAAAATAAAATGTTAGGTGGGGCAGGAAACAGAACTACTAACAAGAAGCTAGCTTGGAAAACATACACAATGAATAACTGTCACTCTTTTAACCAGGAAATAATTGAAAAATAAGAGAAGTCATTGAGAATGGAGATTCAGTCTAGGGCAGTGGATCCCAAGTGGGGGCAAAGCTGCCCTCCAGGGGACATTTGGCAACGTCTGAAAACATTTTTGGTTATCATGTCTGGGAGGGGGTTGGGATGGCACAGCTACTGGCATCTAGTGGGTAGAGGCCAAGGAGGCTGCTAAACACCCTACACAGGACAGCTCCTGACAACAAAGAATGATCTGGTCTGAAATGTCAATAGTGCTGAAGTTGAGAAATCCCAGGTCCTCGGGCAGTACATGCTCATCTGGTTGCAAGCATCTTAAATAAGAGATAAGTGTTCTCTGATGGAGAAAAGAAGGCAGCTGTGTAGGTAAGCTGTGATCAGTGGCTGCCCATCTGGGCCTAGGTGTCTGTACGTTTTTTTCTTCTGGTCTTAACCCGACTAACTTTCTTGTGGCAAAGTACTATGTAATTTATGCTATTCTAACTATGGCATTTTATGGGAATTGCCCAAGAGGCTTAGCTGTGTATTGATCGACACTTCACCAGACATCAGCCTCTCAGAGCGCTTTATTTTGCAGTGGCTTCTAAAATTATAGGAATGAGGCTAGGATATCTAGCCAGACCCTGATGGCTTGCCCTGGTAAACTCAAAAGTATTAAATAAGAGCAAAGCTGCAAAGTTGATCCTCTTATTTACAAGGGAAACAAGTAACTCTTTCTGAGCATAGACTATTGTGAGCCAGGAAGTGTTCTAGGTGCTTTTATAGATAGCTGTTCTCTCAAAGGAGGAAGAAACAAGGTGGTGTCCAGATCTGATAAAACTGAAGGGAACAGCTGAAGGAAGCTATTCCTTTGCCTCAGGGACCAACCAACCAAAGACAATATTGCTGGGAGGCTAAGGGACCCATGTGTGCTGGGACAGAACACAAAGCACCAGTTAAGAGCACATCCCAAACACTGTGCTCTCCCCCACCCCCTCTCCGTGGGAAGTTACTTAACCTTTCTCTGACTGATTGTGCACCTCTGTAAGGCAGGGACAATAACTGTACCCAACTCAGAGTCATTTGAGGAAATGAGCAATTGTTTGCAACGTGTTGGGGACAGTGCCTGGTAGTGATATTTGCTAAACAGAAAACATACTATTTAAAATGTCATGGTCAGCAGGGAAAAATGAGGATGTCTACTGTGCTTGTCCCTTGGGAAAAGAATAACTGGGGGAAGTCAAAGGATGACAGCTTTCAAAACACGACTGCCTATGAACCACGCGCTGGACGATGCGGTAGGCACTTTTTATACTTAGTCTCCCGACTTCAGGGGGCAATTCTGCACCCTAACCCTCATCTACAGATAAGGGGCCCAGGCGGAGCAAGGCCAAGGGCCTCCCTTGGTGCCACAGCTGGAAGGCAGCCGAGCTGGAACTTGAACTGCCTGCTATCTGACCCCATAAAGGCAGCCCCACTGAGGTACCAGGGACCCAAGGCTCCCCAACTCACCCACTGACAGGATCTCCTGGCACTTGGCACACTGGTCCTTCATCTTCAGGCATCCCGTGGAGTTGTGGCGGATCTCCTTGCACACAGAGCGGCTGTCATTATTTTCTGGAGACACACAGGGAAAAGAGGGAGTCAGGCTGAGGGACCACACGGAGCGACACAGTGAGGGGCCACCCTGATCCCTCGGACCCCTTGCACACCACTCTCTGGAGCTTTGAGATGGTTCTGTAGGCAGAGAAGGTTGGCATTTGCCTGCAGACAAGGGCCTCTGATCAGGGCTCCCTGCAGAAGAACGAGGAGGTGTTTCCCGGGGTTTCCCCAGCTGGGTAGGGCCTCCCTTCCCACCATCTCCACCTGACGAGCCCTCGCCTGCCTCCACACTCCCTTGACCGTTTGCACTTCTCTTTGGCACCACAACCCATGTTGCTCTGCATTTTACCTGGCTCATTTCTCTCCCGCTCGCCAGTCAGCAAGCCCCTTGAAGGCAGGAATGGGATCCTCCTTAAAGTCTCCTTATAACACTGGGATCCCCTGCCTCCACCTCCCGTTATGGATATACAGTAGATGCTGGTTAAATTCAACACGCTCCTGTATTTCCACTCCATTTCAAGCCAAACTACAGCACTTCGGAGATGGAGTCGGCCAACCAACCACCGTCTATTGGTTCAATGAAGGAACTCATTTCTGAAAGCATTGGCTTTTCGTGTCCATATAAGACTTCATTCATTCAAAAAATATTCATTGTGTGCCATTTCTCTATCAGGCCCTAAGGTTACAATCACAAACAGCTTTCTTAACTGTAATATGGGCTTATATAATGTGTTACCAATATATGCATGGTGTCCACAGAAAGCCACCTGAGTTCCCAAGAGAAAGAGTTCTGGTTCTCTAGACAGAGGAGTCAATGCAATGCCCATCAGTTGCGGGAAGGGACATGGTAAACTCAAAAGAACGCAGGCTCCAAGTCCTACAGGGCTAGATTTGACCGGGGACCTTTTGCACTTTACCAGCTGCAAAACCATGGGCACGCTCCTTTATCTCTCCGTCATTGTTTTCTCCTTCTTAAATGGGGTTATACCACCCTCATGGGGTTGCTGGGGGAAACCGAGATGATACATGCCAAGTCCCAGCATAGTTCTTAGCATCTAATGGGTCTCTCAACCAACTGTTAGTTCCATCCCTTCATAGGAGGAACAAGACATCTTTCTAACCTGCTGATAATTCAGGGAAGTGGAAGGATGGCCTATGGAATTGGACATCCATGGCCTGTTGAGCCTGGTGTATCATGTCAAAGAAGGACTGGAACATGTCAGGGAAGTTTGGGGGTCCGAACATGGGGAAAGGCATTATGTTCCGGGCCAAGCGAGACTTGGAATGGAAGAAGGAAGGCCTCCTTGGGGACGAGCCGAAGGGTGAGAAGTGGAAGGTGTCCAGGGGCTCCCGGCTGAAGAAACTATCCTGGAAAAGGTCGTCCATAATACTGGACACCCGGTTGAATCTGTCCTCCATGGCGTCCAGTACGTGGTTCTGCTGCCGGTCATTTTCCAGCAGAGAGTCGATGCGGTCCCCGTTAATCCATAAGTAGAAGGGAGAGCTCTGGTTCAGGAACTCCTCAAGCTGGGACGGGCAGAATGGGGAACAGTTAGGAGAAGCTCACTGGAGTCCCTGCCTCCTCTGCTTCTCTCTTGTTGAGATGGGCCAAGCCCAGCCCCTCACAGCACCCGAGTCTCCTCAGAGTCACACAGCACGTGACCAAAGGCCCTGCTGGGACTGGCTCCCTGGTCTCTGAACTGTCAGGCCAATGCCCTTCCATTCTACCCACCCCGATAGGGAAGCGTTGAGGAAGGCCTGTGAGGCTGAGACATTCACAAGGCCCATCACTTGAGACGAGTCTGTGGTCCTCTTTGGCCACCAGTGATCCCCACCCCTGCTCAGCCAAGGGCCAATTGATGTGCCTTCAGTGAACAGCAAAATTCGTGAGTCCCAATGAGCAAGACCCGCAGGGGAGGATGGGATCAATATTAATGTACTAAAAATTCTTAATTCCTTCTGCTTCTGGGGGCACAGGATTCTGCTCTGCCACAAAGCCATAAGAGTCTTCTAAGAGATGGCCAATAGCTGGCACCAATGCTTTTAATGATTCCACGTTTCTCCACTCACAGCAGACATTACCAATTGATCATGACGCTCTGGACCCAAATGCAACCAGAACTAATCAATTGCATCCGGCATGTGAAATGAAGCTGTGATATTGTGATTTATAATTAGAAATATACAATATACGTCTTCCACACTTCCTAACAAAGAGTTCCTAAAAGCCTTGGAATTTCCAGTGATGAGAACAATAAAGGTGTCTTTTGTTATGTTAATGAGGTGACTACTGGAAGACACCTAAGGATGGAGGCTGGCTGCTAGGGAAACCAACCAGAATTCATGGGTTGGAACTTTCAGTCCCACCCCCTGATTTCTGGGGAGGGGAAAGGGGCTAAAGGTTGAATCAATCACCAATGGCCAGTGATTTAATCAATTATGCTTATGTAATAAAGCCTCCATAAAAACCCCAAAATACAAGGTTTGTGGAGTTTCTAGGGTTGGTGAACATGTGGAGATTTGGGGAGAGCGGCATGCCAGGTGAAGGCATGGACATTTCGCACCCCTTCCTCATACTTCGCCCTATGCATCTCTTCCATCTGGCTGTCCCTGAGTTCTATCCTTTTATAATAAACCTGCAATCTAGCAAGTAAAATGTTTCTCTGTGCTCTGGGTGAGCCACTCTAGCAAATGCATCAAACCGTAGGAGGGGGTGGTCGGGAGCTCCAATCTATATAGCCAGTCAGTCAGAAGTCCAGGTGACAACCTGGACTTCTGATTGGCATTTGAAGTGGGTGGGGGCAGTCTTGCAGGACTGAGTCCTTCACCTATGGGATCTGACGCTATCTCTGGGTAGACAGTGTCAAAACTGAGTTCCACTGTGGGACACCCTACTGGTGTCAGAAACCTGCTTGGTGTGGGAAAAGCCCCCCCACACACACTGGAATTAAGTGCAGAATGACAGAAATATTTTGTTCTCCTCATTCCCCCATTCAGAGCCCCGGCTCTACTCAAGGAGCGTTTTTTTCCCTTTTCACCTGGCGGCCGACCAGCCCTGAGCCGCTTCTGCAGACGCGCGCGTAGAACTTCATGCAGGTCTGTTTCAGGCAGGGCTTACACTCCTCCCAGAGGGCCATCATGGTCTCATTGCACACCTCCTGGGACGCCTTCAGTTTCATTTCAGCATCCTTGGTATCAGTTAGGGCCTCCTACAGGAGGACATGAGGCCAGGTTAGCCACACAGAAACCACAGGCTTTACCCTTCCCAAGGCTGGCCACACGGTGTGCTGATTACCACCCCTGCTCTGGCTCATTCATTCCCTCTTTCGCCTACCTAGAATTCCCTTCCCACCTAGTTTTAAACATCCTCTCATCTTCAAGACCCATTGGTCCCTTAGTCCTCCCCAGCCACTAGAACCCACGTGGACATTTCCTTGTCTGACGCCGCACTTAAGAGTCTTTACCCCAGGATTTACCTCTCACTTATGCCTCACTTCCTATGCTCGGCTTCTGGGGTTTAACTGTCATCTTCCAAAGCTTCTGGGGCTCCCTGAATCTTATGTTTCTATTGGAACCATGGTCCCTGGCATGCAACAGGAATAGGCAGGCTTTCAAAATCAAAGTCACCACAACTACCGAAACTCTCGACCACGTCCATTTCATTCGATCCAATAATTCTAGAAAAATCTATGCCACAGAATTCCTGCAATAAAGGGCAAATCCTTCTGCCTAAAGATATTTGTTCCCATATGCATTTATGGCCTAAATAAATAAATAAATAAATAAAAATTTTTAAAAATTAAAAATCACCTAGAATTAATTCAGATACTCAAAAAACTAGGGAATACACTAAGCAAATCGTGGTACACAAAGGGTAGATAGGTACAGCATTACAAGGGATGTTTATAATAAGTTTTAATAGTATGGTAAGCATTTCTCATGTTAAAAATTTATGGTTTTGAATATAGCCACTGTCACAAAAAGTATAGAGGAAAAAAGTAGTAAGAAACAGATCAGATGTTAACAGTGAATTGTCCTCAAGCATAAGGGTTATGGAAAACCTTTTCCTCGTCTACTTTTCTATATTAAAATCTTGATGAATGAGCGTATTACTCTTCAAAGAATAATGAACGAGACCATGAAGACACTGTGAAGATCTGACCAGGAAGAGTTCGAGTTATGCTCATCCTGCTCTCTGTCCCCTGCTCTGAGCTAGGGAAGGCCACCACACCTTCCACTGAACCAATTCACAGGTGTCAACTATGCCGGTCACTTCCTGTCTTTCAGTTTCACATATTCCTCAGCTAAGAAGTAAGGGAGTCTTTTTCCAAACTTGATGAGCTTTATCAGAAAATCTGGATTGTCAAATATCAAACTCCAACGTTAACTATGAAAATTCGAGAACAACACTTGCCCCTCCCACAGGAGCTATTTGAGGATTCTCATAGAATTGTGAGAACTAATACTGATGCCAAGAAAGGACATTAAGTTTCAAAGAAAGTTAAAGCTGCATCTAAGCCAGCATTTCCTTAAGTGGCTTCCATGAAATTGTGCTAAAAGCTATCAAGAAAAAAAAAAAACTGGATTCCCTGGTCAATTTGTTTGGAAAACACAGGGTTACATGAAGTTCCATGGATTTCTTTTGTGCAGAACTTCTCAGAGCCTTCAAAATGTTTTCACCATGCATTATGAATCCTGGAGGTGGCAGGTGGCCCCATCTTAGTGTCTCCTTCGTAGGGTGGCCATGGGAGTGGGCTTTTAGGGTACCTTTAAGAAGACTATTGATTTTTAAAGTAAGTTATTCGTTGAATCATAGTGTTTTAGTTTCGTTGAATCATGAAGCACAGTCTAGACCTACTATGCTCACTATTGGACTTAGGGGTCTCTTTATGAAGTAGTCCAAAACTTTATAAAGACATGGGGCGAAATACAGTGTGTGCCTGCCTTAACCCCAAAGGTATTACCCCTACTAGATAAGCTCTCTGAAGGTAAAGTGCCCTCCCCGTCCCTCCCTGTGACAGACCCTATCCAAAGCTTACCTTGGAACTTGACCATAGTTAGGGTTTAGAAAAATTTATTGTAGTGAATCTGGGCATCAAGCCCTGGGCCAGGCTAGTAGCAAAAGCAGATCCAAGATCTCACCCTTTGAAGCTTTCAAAAGCAAATAAACTCTCCTGGTTTCTTAACTACAGTCCTAGCATCAGGTGACACAGCCCTGGAAGGACTGAGGGTCACCAAGGCATCCCAGCAGGACACCCCTAGAGGAGCCAGGACTCCACCCTCTCTCCCCTCCAGTGGGTGCGTGGTCACCTGGTTGTTTCTTACCTCTTTCTTCTTCCTGGCTTCCTCTAAGTTGCCGAGCAGTGATTTGCGCTCATCATTTTTGTGTTCCATTAGGGTCTTTATCTGTTTCAGCTCCTTGAGGGAATTTTTAACTTCCTTATTAACGTATTTAGTCCCCTCGGTAGACATTTCTGCAAGAGAAGGGCAGGGAGGCAGAATGAGGCAAGAGATGGCGCTGGAGATATAACCCTGGAACCAGCTGGAATGGTCAGAAAGGCAGTTGGGTCCAGGGACTGTAAAAGCTGGGAATCCCCTGGCAGGCAGCCTTCAGGCCCCAACTTTGCCCTGACACAAGTTCCTATCACAGGGCTCATTGTGGGCCCAGGGTCCAAGAACTGACAGCACCAGCTATTCCGAAACACAAACCACAGGAGCAGGCACACCCCCAGAGGAGGATCAATGGCACTACGCCTGCCCCTGCGGGCTGGAGAACAAGCCTACCCGGCTGCAGAAGACAATTTCAAGGGGGAAAAAAATCCTGGAAGTGTAACCTGTTAAGCATCAAAATATGGAATACTGTTCTTTCGGATACAAGTCTTTCTGGAATTCAGTTTAACCAAACATCTGAACTTTTCTCCAGTGCACGGTGATGGAGACACAAAGATGAATTAATAGCACTGTTCCTCAAGGAGACTGTGACCAAGACGCAACCCTGTGTGACAAATGCAATCAGATGATGTCAATGAAGTGCCAGCTAAAGCACTGAGATAAACACCTCACGTGCATTTTCTTTAATACTGCTGGCACCATCGTCATCCCCATTGCATAAATGGGCAAAAGAAAGCCCAGTGAGGTCAAGATAGTGGCCCAGGGTCATACAGGGAGTGAGTGGCAGAAACAGACTCCTATCAGGGTTTGATCTCAAAGTTTGGGTTTTTAACTACTACCCAAAGGACGTGTCAGCTAGTAGGACGAGAGTGAAGTGGAGGGAGGACTGGTTTCAGGAAAGGCCTGGCAGAAGAGGGGACCACCAGCTGGGTTCTGAAGGATGACAAACCTCGTATTGAATGACAGTTCACTGTCCCTGCCCTGTGAGCAGAGAATACAGAGCATGGTTTCCTGGGTGGGAATGAGAACTCAAAAAAGGGAGTTCCACAAAGGCTCAAACAGTCCAGGCTTCATGGACTTTCATGGAGGAGGCGTGGGTGCCGGGCCATGCAGACTGGGAAGGGAACAGCCAAATGAGACATAGCAGCTAGGAATGGCTTTTGATATACCTAAAAAGGCCTGAAGCCACCTTGACCACAAAGAGCCTAGGCCAGGTGGCAGGGGAGGGGAGGCTCAGAGAAGGGCCCGGCAGAATAAATTAAGACCTGATGCACAGGACAAAATGGTCTTTAAGGCCCTGACAGCAAGGGTGACAAGAGGGACACTCTGGTCTACTTACCCTGGAGCTCTCTCTCTGAGACTTCCTGTTCGCCCAGCACCTGCCCACTCTCCCAGGTCACCAGCAGCCCCACCAACAGAAGTAGAGTCTTCATCTTGCTTCCTTCTGCAGTTCTGGAATCCTAGCACGCCTCTGTTTGTAGAGCACAGGAGACTGTCATGGTAACAGCTAGACAGGCTGCTGGTTTCCGGCCCAGCTTGTCGCCGGCAGCAGCTTCCCAGGAGTCCTGCAGAGACCTTGCCCTGAGCTATCCCCGCTCAGCTGGCATCGCTGCATTTTTATCCCCGGGGGAAGTTGGGAGGAAAGATCAGACTTGCCAACGGACACTTTCAAAAGAAAGTGGAGGCAGTGGGTACCGGGAGGAGCCACAGGGCAGCCGCGTAACACAGAAGAAACAAGGATTCTGGAGTCAGAGCCGTGGGCTCAGGTCCAAGCCTTCCTCTGCCTCCTTCCTCACAATAGGTAAAGATGTCTGAACAAGGCAGACACGCTTTCTGCATCCAGAAAGCAGTCTGATGATGCCGGCTCATATCAGACAAACCCTGAAAACACCGCTCTTAGATCACTCACCTGGCCCTCTCCTGTCCCCCCATCAAGTGGGGACTGCATCCCAGAGCTCAGACAGCCCCGCTGCCATGTGCATCCCTAACCTGGCCACAGCAAGCATCACTCACAGCATTTCTCCCCACTGAGCCTTGGCACCACCTAAAACTGGTTTCAAGGGTCTGAGGAACTGACAGCTAACCCTTTGGGTCACCACAAAAAAATAAATCCATTTGACACCCCTAGTGTGAGACTTGAGACTTGGGGATATACATAAAGAATAAAGCCAGCAGGGAAGGACAATTGTCTTCAGGGAGTAGAGCGGGGAGGGGCAAAGTCAAGGGTTAACGTTGGGACCAAGGGGCACTTGGGCCCTGATGCCTCCCCAGGAGCAGTCCCTCTGAGAAGACATGTGCCTCTGCTCTCCCAGGTCCCTTTCACATGACCCAGTCGCTCTAAACCTTAAAACCACGGTAGGGTGCCCTGCCAAGGCGCTGCTGCCATCACTCTGGGCTTGCTGCCCTGAGCCTGGCGACAGCTGGTCTTACACAATAGACCCTTTCCCAGAAGCTGAAGTTGTTGCATAAAACAGAAACCCCTCCCCTTGTAATCCGCACCTCCCCCCCCCCAACTGCTTATCTAAACTCACCCATTTCCTATAACAGAACGGGGAGGTGGGGTGCCCCCTTCCTGAAATCGTGCACATCCAAAAACCGCTCTCAGCTCAGCGGGCCCATCTGGATGCTTGGGAGAACATTAATAAGACAAGCCTCTCCTGAAAAGTCGCTAGTAAGGCAGCCGAGTTGTGGTTCCTGAACGAACTGCGCAGAGCATAGGAGCAGCGTGGGAGAGGGAGTGGGTCATGGCCTTCCACAAACACAGGGTGGGTGTCTGAGCCAGGGCACTATTTCAGGCCTGCCAGAAGGTCCCCGTCAGACAGGCTTTGCCCTAGCTGCTCACTGAGGCCTGAAACGCCTGAAGCAGGGACAGAGCTTCTGCCAGGCCAGACAAAGCCAGAGAAATACACCATTCCAGGCAAGGCCCCTGGTAGCAATGACTTCGGAGAAACCCTGAAGGCAGGGTATTGGACCCTGAGGAAAGCAGAGGGAGGACAGCCAAAGGCAAGAGCACTGGATGAGGAGTCTGAGAGCTCAGCAGTTAGTACAGGGTCTCCCACCAGGAACCTGGGGCTCATGGGGAGCCATCCAGCTCTGAACCAGGAAAGAGATCAGTCTTCTGCCCAATCCCTCCACCGCAGAGGGGAGGCCGATCCCAGAGACAGGATGGAGCTCCCCCAAGGGAGCAAGCTCGTGGCAACCCCAGGATGAGAACCCAGTTCTCTCAGCTCCCCAGTCCAGTGTTCTTCTCACGATGCTGAGTCACTTAAGTCTCTGAGCCTCAGTTTCTCTGTCTGTAAAATGAACCTGAGGTGAGACCTCAGAGATGTGAATGCGTTCTGTACACACAGGGTCGTATATAATCAGAGTGAATTCTGACTACTTCAGAACTTGATGTAGGACCAAGCGTGAACATCAGCAATATGTCTCGGGGGGAGTGGGAGCAGGTGACAGGTTTGGGGAGGGACAAAGGAACAGACGCAGGCACACAGAGGCCACCTGTCGTCCCTTTCTGACTGTGTGGCTTTGCCTTCGTAAAATGACTGGCTACGAATCATCTGGGGTCTTATTAGAATGCTGATTCTAATTCAGAATCTGTTTTTCTCTAACAAGCTTGCAGGTGATATTGGTACTGCTAGTCCAAGGATGGCACTAGGACAGTGGCAGCACGGCAACCTGCCATCCTGTTGCACTGACTCGCCTCCCCTCTCATCTCCTGGCCTGGGCATCTGGCTGCCAACTTCTCTGATTAGACAAGCCACCCAAGGCCTTCCTCTCCCCACCATTGGGCAGCCCTTCCCCTCCTAGGAGGGCTTAAATCATGCAGAGGGAGCCTCGGGAGGACACGGGGACCTAAGTAAAGCGGATACACAGCTAGTAAGCCACAGGGTTTACAGCCCAGAGCCCAAGCTCCTACCCTACTTTCTCCCCAAATATAGAAAACTAAACCAAAAAGAAAAAAAATATTTCACATGTAATTCACACTCTCCAGAGGCAACTATCAGCGCTGTGGTATAGTTCCTTCTATTTCTTCTGCATTTGTATACAGTCAGATCCTTTACATCCACTGTATCAAATATTCTTTCAAAGCACACTTTTGTGGCTATAGAATAGTCCATTTCCTGATGTATTCTATTTTGCTGTCCCACAAGGTTGGACATTCAAATTGTAATTTCCAACTATTATTATAATGGATATTCTCACGAGCAAAAGTGTCTGTACTTACTTTTAAATTGTCTGTACTTACAGACAATTTAAAGTGTCTTTAAAGTGTCTGTACTTACTCTTAAATTCCTAACCTCTCAATAATAATAATAATAATAATAATAATAATAATAAATAATCAGCTTTTTTTCAGTAGGTCCTGAAATTCTGGAAAGTCAAGAGGCTTTGGTTCTAATCTCAATTCTGACACCTACTTGCTATTTATCTTTGCAGCTGGTCCTAAACCTCCCCAGGCCTCAGATTATCATCTATAAAATGAGACGGTTGAATCAGACGTCTGAGGTCTGATGTAGGTTGTGTGACTTTCCTCTGATGTACCCTAGTACATTAGGGAGCAAAAAGGGTAGGATTTAAGTGGTTGCAACATATACTTAAATCAAAACATCATACTTATAAACACACTACCCAGGGAACTAGAAAATTCTGAAGCAAACAAGATGACTCATGCACGCAAGCTGACAACCACCGCTGAAGATGGTACCTTTACAAGGAAGATGCTGCAGGAAGGCCCTGTGTGCAGGCCGGCTCTGCCAATTCACCAGCGTGGGCCTCCAAGTCTCAGTTTTCCCCATCTTTGCAAAAAGGGGATCATTACACCTGTCTTATTTCCCCACAGAATTGTGGTTGGAGCTAATGAGCTGAGTCCCAGCCTGTGCACCATCCCCAGCAATTTGGCCCCCTGCTCGGCTGCCTGATGATGGGGCTCCAGCCACCTACCTTCCCAGGTTCCCTCTACTCCATCCAAGCGCAGCTCTGCCAGCCCTGTGACTACTAGCGACCGTCCTCTCCTTGCCTACTTGCCACCCTTGCCCGCCCGCCCATTGGTCCCGGTGAGGTTCTGCGGCTCTGCGCAGGGTTAGGAAAGGTAGGGACATCTCACCGGTCAGTGGTACCCGTGCGCTCCTCCTGGCGACGCGGCGTCGTGAGCACAGAGCAGCGCCAGTATTTATAGCGCTCTGCTACGTATACTCCCCCTTTGGGGCTGTCTGCAAACCTGCATGACTCACGCCCAAAGAATGCCGGGGAATGCACCAGGAGCTTTCTGGAAGCTGGCTCGCGAAGGGGGCGGGGGTGCGAGATCTGGTGCAGCACCCAGCCGAGGCGCCGGGGGGCGCAGCAGCACCGCGAAAGACCGCGCAGGCTCCTGGGGCTATAGACCCTGGGAGTCTCAGTGCACAGCTCCCCTGGGGCTGAGAGCTGGGGGGGGCGGGGGGGGGCTGCGCGTTCACCAGGGAAGTGCCTGAGTTAACTAAAGTACACGTACATATTCTTCACGGTTGGAGGGGCCCCACTGCGCTCCTGGCCGGTCCCAGTCCGAAATAAAACCGCACAGTTCCACAGCCATATTGAATGTTAATCTTTCACATTAAACATGTGCCATTCCTCTTGTTTCATTTAAGTAGAAAAGTATCCGAAATAATGAGGGTGGAATGGAAAGGGGTGCTGTGTTGGAGAAGAAAACGTGAGGTATGAAATGCTGACTTCCGGAACCATCACAGCGACCTGCTGGGCAAGCGGAGACAGAAATATGTTTATAGGGATGGACAGTGAGCATACATTTGAGGAACCAGAAGGCCTCTCTGGCTCCTTGATTCCCGGACCTTAAGCAAGTATTGTCCCCATCCACTTGAGACCCAGCTAAGCATGGTGGGCTTCATAGGTGTGGGTCCCTTCGGCCTCACACTTAGTTTGATGCATTACTGTCGCAGTCTTGAAATTCTTTTTTTTTTTTTAGCTGAGCCATCCTGCTACCTGTTGGCAGCTCAGCGGCTGCTCAGCTCGGGCTGGACTCGAACCGCTGTTGCTCAGAGCTCAAACTCTTGAGCGAGCTCTTAACTTGAAATTCTTAATAGTTCTTGAACAAGGGGCTCCACATTTTCATTTTGCACAGAGCATCAAAAATTAAGTTGCAAGTCCTGTTTCCAAGCAGGCTCACTGTCTCCTACTGCCCCAAGTTCCCTCTGCTGACAGGAGGAAGCTTGTTTCGGCACTCCCTTTGGCCAAGGGCTTTCATGTGACAGGGATGAGAGCCATCGCACCACCCCTGTTGGGGAGAGGACCAACCCAGAAGCCCCTCAGGTGTAGCTACTTCTAGAAGAAGCAGAGCTACCCACTCTGGACCCCCAGGATGTTTGAGCACCACGAAAAAAGTCAAGGTGGTTCTCTCACTGATGGGGGCAGATGGGTGGGCTAAGCAGGTGTAGGCAGCTTGGTTTGGGTTGGCTGGCTTTGAAAACCACTCGAGATGAAAGGGTTCTGGGGAGACCTGTATGGTCAGGGGCTGAGTTTTCCTGTTCATTGCTTTCGAGGTACAGCTTGAGGCCCAGTTCCTAGTTGCCAAAGGTCCAGCAGCAATTAGGACCCCACCTCTCTTCAAGAGGGAGCCTGGAGAAAGTTTCTGTGAAGAAGGTGGGAACTTGAGTTGGGTGCATGAAATTCTGACTACACTAGCCTCAGCTCCGCACTGACCTTGAACCAATCCCTTTGCCCTCTGGGTCTCTGTTTCTTCCTTTTAGACAATGAGGAATCCGGTTTGTATAACCTCTAAGGTGCCCCCTTCAACCTAACCTGAGACAGTGCCACGTGTGAGAAGATCATCAGTCCAGAAGGAAAGAAAACTCCAGCAAAAATTTGGAGCAATATTTCTCCCCTGAGGCTTCACTTTATTTTTCTTTAAGAAAAAAACAGTAAGCCTGATTATCAGTAACAGCTACATTTTTTATGGAAACTGCCTCCTCCTTAGCATATCAATGCCTGAGGTCAGAAGAATTGTTTTTGAGCAAGCTTCTTGTAACTTTTCTGTTCTGTGACTCCCCTAGCATCCGGCACAGTAGGCATAAATCTGTGATAATTATATTTTTAAAAATCGAACTTTGGAGGACAGGCGAGCGGATCTGCCTTAGTCAGCTGAAGTAAGGGAAAGGAGGAGGGGAAGAAGGAACTCGGAGAAAATAACATGATTCACGGCCAAGACACCATGGTCCCCTGAGAATGATGTCTTGATTACTCCAGCTACTAAGCAAACAAGGCTCAGGAGATTTAACTTCAAGGGGGAAACGTTCAAATTTGGAAAGCACCATAAATGCATCACTGGGTTGTGACTATTCTAAGTAAATCATAGAGGTTAACTGGTTCAGCCCCTCCCACAATACTTGATTTCTAACCTCCCCACCTCCAACCAGCATCCCCACCAGGTGGTCATCCTGCCTTTGTTTGAATGCCCCCAGTAACTGGGAGCTCACTACCTCCATGCAAGCAGTTTGTCCAGTAAAGCTGTTTATAGTTAGGGTCTTCTTTTTTATTGAGCCAAAGTCTGGCTCCTGCATGGGCTAGCCCCAAGCCCTGTTCTGTCTTCTGAACCACACAGAAAATCCAACCCATCTCTCCACTGCTAGCCCTTCAGACATTGGAAGGCAGATAGTAGACTTCTCCCAGTGACCCTCAGGCTTGTGGGTGGCTGCCTGCCCCCAAGGCCATTGCTTGCCCTTTGGCCTTCTGGACTTGGCCTCCCTTGAAGCCCTGGGCCCAGCCTTGGACCTGACAATACCAGAGAGGACTGACTGGTCACAGAACAGAGCGGGACCACACTTCCCTTGCCCAAACACTCTGGATTAGCTCTTAGTTAGCTGCTGAGTCACTTGGTTGATTCATAGAGAATTCGTCATCTTTCTGGCAATGCTGCTGTTTAATCATTTCTTCTCCCATTGTGGACTTAGGCACTCAGTTTTGGGGTTTTCAGCTTGATTTCTTTTCTTGGTGGTAGGAAACATCAGGAAGGGGGAAAAGGGGAACGTAAAGAACTTGATGTTTATTGGTCTGTCTCTTCATGCTTGGCCCACCACCTCTCCCCTGCTCTAAGGTCCTGGTTATGTGTCCCTGCCCCCACCATTGTGTCGGGCTCAGTGCCGCCAGCGTGACAGCTTAACCACCACTGATGTATATAACTGGAACAAGCTAGAAATGAACAAGAGCGGTAATTCCTATAGTTAGGAATTCCTATAGTTAGGAATTCACTCTCCCAGCTCTAATTATTCAATGGGTATATTCGGTTAATTAGAGGTTCATGAAAAAAATCGTGGATAATAAAATCATATACAACAAAATCAGCCCACAAGCTGCTGTGGAGGAAAAAAAAGTCTGCAAACACTCTATCGGTTGTGTTTTCCTTATCTTGCCATCTAGGATCTTTTAGGGAGAAGAGGTGAGGGTAGCCTCGCCTGAGTTGCTTATCATGGGCCTATGAGGAGACAAATATTATTTATACTATCTTCACTGTTAATCATGCTATTGACTGGTTGTGTGGTCTATATTTCACTCCATAATTGGTCAGCTCTAAGCTTTTGCTCCAATTCTTAGATGAATTTGCTTTTTTTTTTTTAACTGGGCCCCAAATCTGCCTCGAGTCAAAACTACTTTTTCCACAACCACCTGGAATTCAACTAATAATTATTTTAAGTCAGTGGTTCTCCGTGGAACTACACAATGGGATTACCTGGAAAGAGTTTTAAAAATTACCAATGCCTGAGTCCCACCTCCAGAGGTTATGATTGAATGAATCTGGGGTGCAGCCAGATTTGTTGCAACTCTCCAAGTCATCTTAATGTGCAGCCCAAGCTGAGAACCACTGCTTTCCAAGTTTACACATTTCTGGCTTATACTTTGCCCATTCGATCCTCACTGCACGTCTATGTCACCGTTAAGAACATGTGGTATTATTCTCATTTTAAAGAAGAGAAAATTGGGGGTCAAGGGAATCTGAGTTAGCAGGTTTTTGCTTATGTTGAGCTGAAATCTGCCTCCTTCTAACTTCTTTTCTGTCTTCTATCTTATTTCTAAGGCACTATATATTAAGTTATCCCCTCCTCTACAGGACAGCCCTTCAAACGTTAGAACCAAATATGCCATTTCAGGTTAAATATATTTCTCTATACAGGTCCTCTGCCCTCTTCTCTTAGAGTGAGGTTGCAAGATACCTCACTCTGCTCCTGCCTGCCCTAGGTTGCTCCGTTTTGTCATTGACCCTTTTGTGTGGCTTTAAGTACAAACATCAGACGCTAGCTTGGGCTGGCCGGTGAGCATATGATAAAAAGCTTCCTGAAACCCCAAGGCATTGTCTGCTTAACTTTTTTATTATAACACCCTGTCTCCTGGGGCAGGTTGTGGTGTGCTGGGAGTACACAAGGACACAGAAGCAACTGGCTGGAATCTTACTCAAAGATTTAGGGAGAAAAGTTAATATTTAATGAATAAGCAATCTTCCTTCTCTCTTCCTCTTTCTTTTTTTCTTTCACCTGTCTTTTTTTCAATTTCTTTCTGAGTTTCATGCTTCTAAAGTAATGGGAATCTCTATAAATACATCTATATTTAGAATGTGTGTGTACATATAATATCTATGTATAATATATATTACATATATAAATATAAAAGATTTTATGCCCCTTTTTAAAAAAAATAAATTTAAAATCATAGTATACATGTTACTTTGCAATTTTTTTTTCCACTTAATAAAGTGTTATGGACATCCCTCCAAATCAATACACAGATCTAACCCACACTTCTCAGTAGCTACATATTTTATTCAGCCGTTGCCCTGTTCCAGCTTTTTCTGTCACTGTAAGCTGTGCCACAATAAACAGCCTTCTGTATGTATCCTAATACATTGGTATCTTTATTGGTATAAGGTGGATTCTCAAATTTAGATTGCTGGATATTGTCATCCCTCTGAATTTTTGCCAGTCTGATGGGTTGCTACCTTAATCTAGTCATCTGATTATTGTTTTCATCTGATTATTGTATTTATTTTAAAATAAAGTTTCTTCTCATTGTGCATTGGTTTCATAGGATTTCAAATCCACTCGTTTGTGAAGTAAGTGAGGTTGTTTTGATCCAGTTTTCTGTGACTTAAGTAGTTTAAGTTTACTGAGGAAGCTGTGTCAGGATATTGTCATGACAACTGTTGTTATGGATAAGCACTCTGTAGCTCAGCTG